TTGAAAAAATAAATAAATAAATAAACACCATAAGATCTCGGCAAACAAAATTAAGACGAGAAAGACAGATAATGCATAAACACACAAACCAGAGACTAAAAAGACAGATAACCAAGAAGTAGGATACTATTTGACGTTCATTTTCACTTGCGGGAACTGTTTTGATTTGTTGGAAAAGAAGGGACCTGAAAACACTAACCTTAACAGTGTATATGAAGTTCGGCAAAGTTGTATTACATAACTTGAGCATCTCAATGATAAACAAACCACTCATGTAAATATCCAATTAATTAATGGCGCCTTGGTTACCACCACGTGCTTCACAAAAGACCAACACAAAGTTCATGCCGCTTCCCATGCACAAGAGACTACCAAAAAAGTTCACGTTGTTCCGCTTGCAGGATGAATGAATTTCTGAGCTGGTGAAATAATTACAACTTGCTTATGTACTGGAGCCACCTCCTAATAAGATGAAGACATGCATCAATTGGATTAGCTTCGTCAGAAATAATAAAACAAACAAATTGTCTACACAAAGCGATCCAAGAATCAAGTGGTATTAAGACCATATTCTGCTAGTAGGAGTGGATGCTCCATGTAAAGTCTATGTCTAAAACCACGCCTTGTACGCTTTATAAAATAAACTAACTGGTTATGAACATATCGATTAAAACATAAATATAAGAAATTATTAAAATTACACTAGTGTGTGAGCAACTTTAATGCAAACTATATGGATTTTTATCATAGGACATAACAAAGAAGAATTGCTTGCAGCAGTTCAAAGTACTGATCCCGGAGTAGCTGTAGTGGACCCGCGTATCTATCTAACTTGGAGGGGGCTAAGGTGGCTTCCACTTAACAGGTCAACTCGCCAAACATTTTTCCCATCAACTAAAGAGAAACAAGACCACATGCTTAACAACAGATGACCAAAATCTCAAGATGCTTACCGTGTTGTTAGAAGTTAATGCAATGCAACAATTATTTTTTCAAGAAAAAGAAGCTAAAATTATTTCTATGCAAATTAGAATGAGCCTGAATATTCAAATATTTCAAACGAAGAGAGTAACAATCAAATGTAGACTTTGGATATAAAGAATACAAAATGGAATATAATGAGATTCAATTTATTTGCAACCCTATCGTACAACATGTAGGCTAGCCAATTATGAGCTCAAACAGAATCAAAAGTTTAAATTGGAAACCAGCACTTAGCGCCACCGCAAGCTCAAACAATGGAAGGGTGGAAATAAAAAAGGGTTGATCCCACAGGCCCCAAACATATTTAATGGTTCTCGAGCCCTAACTATCATACAAAAAACAAGGGGACTTCTAGCTACAAACTTGTGTGCAATTCAACAATTAAGACAAAAATTGAGAGTATGGTATGATGACGCCCTACCATGTTATATTACTCTCTTTGCAAAAAGTAGTCAACATTGATAGACACGTATGCGCGGATGATGAGCATGTCATATACATGTTATATAATCACCAACCAAGTCACGAAGCTGCATTAGTCCCAACAAGTGTAATGAGATCACAAAATCAGCAAAAACGCATTCACAAATATTACATTCACATACACACCAAAAACAATGTAATATTCAACCAAAAGATGTCATCCTCTTGGGGAAAAAGAGAGAGAGAGAGAGAGAGAGAGAGGAAAAACAAATCAAGTGCATGCACGAACCTCAAATAAAGCAAGCATTGCCAAGAATCCAAGAATTAAAACTTGGGGGGGTGACGAGAAGGAACTCGAAAGAGCTGGAGACATTGCAGTCTAGCTGCGGCACTTGTTTTACCCACGCATAAGACGCCTCCATTGCGTGTAACTGCATCAGCTTGTGGCTCTCCTCACTAAACTTCATTGCCCCCTTGTGCGCTTCTCTTACCTTTCTCTCCACCTCATAACGTTTCTCGATTTTGGCCCTCACAGCCTTTTGCTTAGCCTCCATTTTGCACAACTTCTTCAGGTACGGACGAACATTGCACGTGTACTCACACACGCTGAGCTTGCACCCCTTCATCGTATTGTCAAGAAAGGTCGACTCCACAATGTAGAAGCAGGTCGGCAATCCCTCTGAGCCCACGTCCCGAACCCCGATGCTCGTTTTTTTCCCCTCTCTATTCGACGACAACAACTCCCTATTCGACAACCGCCACCTAGGAACGCTAGGCAAGGGGCCAGTCAAGTGCCGGGCCCCACGAGGAGTCAAGCACCAATCATCAGTGACGTAGATGTACTCGCCGTCTCCAAATGAGAGGTTGCTACGCACGTTGAGGGGCCAGGGTTTGTAGGTCCATGATGGGTGTGGTGATGCGGTCAGGTCCAAATGAAAAATAAATCCACCGTCGCACATCACGGCAAAGATTGGCGTCCCGCCCATGAACCAGTAAGTGACGATGCGAGAACTACAAGTGTAGCCCGATCCTGATAAGTGGCTGCTTCCTGGCTGGATCTCCAGGCCACGGGGGATGGAGGGTAGCGCCTCCCATCTGTCCATGTCTGGGTGGTAGAGCTCAAAATCCACAATAGGTGGTGCGTCAGGTACGCTGCTGCTGGTGGTGGTCGTGGACGGTTCAGGGCGACTGATCCTAGTCGAGAAGGCGATGATCTTGCCATTGGGTGTAGGGAGCACTTGCAAGTACCTTTTTCTGGAAATCAATGGGCACACATGCTCCACCATAGTGTGATCAGCCTTCATTGGGAGTACGCGGGAAGTGGTGGTGGTGGTGCTGTGGTATTTGGAGATGTTGATTCTGCGGACACAGAGAGGATCTGCAGATTCTTTCGACATGACCTTAAGTTTCATACGCGAGAGGTGGAGATTTAAATTAGAGTTGAATAGGAAAACTCCCGAACTCGTGACACATGACGTGTCGCCAAAGTACTGTCCGCTCACCCGGAGCGTAGGAGTCAATGATGGAATATCAGTGTGGCGTCGACGTTTACATCGGCTTGAGACATCCACAACATATATGTCGTGATAGTAATGGTTATCATCATCTTCATCCAAAAAAGTAGCCGAAAAACACAATAGGGATGACGACATGATATCTCCTTCTCCTGTGCAACAAGCAACAACATGAGTTGGATGGGTTAAAAATTAATGTATATGATATGATGATCAACAACTTTAATCGACAAAACTCTGATTATCTATAATACCAACTCTCTCAATTTTAAAGTTCAATTAAGAATCAGCAGTTTTCACCTTAAGCAAAAATAGAGCCAAATAAAATAAAATAAAAACCCTAATTCGAGATTTCATGGTACCTGATGGACACCGGAGTAGGCGAGGCCGTGGGGAGGATCTCCGATGGAAGTGAGGAAAGGAAGACAGGGTGATTGATTTGTACTCTGTTCTATTTTTTGTTGCTGCGGAGTGCGGATGGATAGGGTAAGCGTGGTGCGTGTGGATGTAGGAAAGAGAATACACCTACAAATAAAGTAGAGGAAGTGAATTCGGGTCGGGCCTCTCTCTCTCCTTTAGTTTTTTTCAAAATTGTATTTTACCAATAGCGGGCCAGTTAACGGGTTTTGTCCACTATGGCCCGTGCACACTGGCCAGTGTTGGCATGCTCCTCACTGGGTCTGCAAAAGTGCAGCCCAACCCGTCCATTTGTTCGGACCAAATATTTAGCTAACATAATAAAAGAGAAAAAGGAGACATGCAATTACATTAATTTCTTCCATTTTTTTCAGTCCCATGTCTTGAAGTAAAATATTGATTTTGTTTGCCAATTAGTAGTTTGGAGAAATGCTATGGTCCCGCTACAGTATCATCCTGTCGGGTAGTATAACCGTTGGATCCACATGTAGTTAGATAAGATAGATGATCCAACGATTAAAACACCCGACGACGGGATGGTTCTGTAATGGACCGTAGCATTTGGGGTTTCATAGTTGGTTGACTAGCAGATTAAATTAGTAATTTATCAAATGGACCGTAGCATTTGAGTTTCATAGTTGGTTGACTAGCAGATTAAATTAGTAGTTTATCAAATAAATATTTGGTAAACAGCGAAAATTCATAGTTGTTGTTACGTTGTATTTTGAGTTTCTTATAATTCGCGTTTTTTGTCCAAAATGTTAATCGATAAACTCATTACCAAACAAGTTATATGTAGCATGAATTGTGATTGTTACCGAACTCGTGAATTGTGATTGTTATTTGTTTTGTGGTCGAAGTTTGTTTGAGTTACTCTTCTGTCATTTGCAGTTGAGATTAATTAGTTGTTCCATCTTTACACCAAATGTGATGAACACAGGCAGTTACTGCTATATTAAGATGGAACAGATGTAAGTCAAACGGACACAATAAGATGAACAAGAAACTTAAGTCTGTCCAAAATTACTACACCTATACAGTCTTCCCAACTTGCATTTTGATAGCCAAAAAAAAAAAAAGTTACAAATGTACTCAACAATTTCTCAATCACGTTGTCACGACCCGCTCGAGCAAACTCACTCACTACCTCACTCACTCACCAAGGCTTAAGATCCCCCACAGGGCCCGCAGTCCAGTTCAACACCTTCTCTCCAGGCCTCAGGTTAACAGCCGGGCCATGCGGCAGTTTACGGGCCAGCCCGTTCAAGATCTGGTGAAAGGCGTCCCTCGACTGGGCGGGCTGCGGGAAGAGCATTGCCTGTTTCATGGAAGGATTAGCCAAGAGTCTCTGCTTTCGTAGAATTTCCTCGATCGGGATAGAGGTGAGGATAGTGTCGAGCTTAGGGACGTCTTTCTCGTCCACGAAAACACCAATCTCCTCCCACGGAATGGCATCAGCAAACGGGAGCACGATGTCGTCGGCAATGATGACAGGGATGCACCCAAAGACAACAGCCTCCACCAGCCTCGGGCTCCACGGGGCCCACCCGAGGGGGCAAAGGCAGAAAACGGCACGCTGCATGTCCTCGTAGTATGTGGTCGGGTGCTCCGTCGAGATGTCGAATAAGGGGTTGTTCTTGAAGTTCTCCCACACCGACGCTCGGGCCCCTCTGCAATTGAAATTAAAATTATTTGTCAAAAAAGAGAAAGTTTTTGAGTTAAGAACTTTTTATTTCTTATTCTTTAAGATTGGGTGGCAAAGTTCCGATCTTTTTTTTGGAGGGGGTTAGGGGTGGGTGTTTAAGCTAAGGCTCTAGTAAGTTCTACTTATTGTCCCTTAAAAATGAAGAAAGAAAGTGTTCAATCAGATGAAAATTGTTCAGTTCTTTTCTGAGTTACTAAATGAAAAATGAGGTTCTTAACCTTAAATCTGATATATGAAATGGACAAGATTGGAGTGAAGAAGACGAACCTTGCGTAGTAACCACCTTCAGGGTCGTTACCGACATCGTAAAACAATCCTCGGAAGTAAACAAAAATGGATCGAGGGGTGGTGGGAGGAATGAGATGGGCTTGCATCTTCTGAGGAGGGGCGTATGGGGGAATTATGACAGAACCATCCTTTAAGCAGACGTGATTTCTCTGCCCGAAAGTTTGAACCAAGGTGGCACGTTGGAGCAGAGGCAGTATACCTCTATCAATGGCTTTCTCTTCCTACAAACAAGATTTGGGGCACTGTCAGTAACTACGAAACCCCCCCATGAGATTTGGGCTCTTACACCAAAAAACAAAAGAAAAAAGAAACAAAACAAAAAGAAATTAATCAGAAGTATTCAATTACACCCCCAAAACAAATCGTCTTAAGTCTAAAGCATATTTGCCCCCTCCATAAGCAAAAATCATTTCAAAATCGCCAAATTTACAGAAATGTTATAGTAAGCACAGAGTCTGTGACGAAATAATTTTCAAGGGGGTGTTTGTAATTCCAAAACAAAGCCAAAATCACAAGCATTTTCTTGTTTTGCAATTATCCATTCAATTTACTTTGACACTGACTAGGTTAAACCCTGAGGCACGTGGTACACAGAATTATTATATTAAAATTAGCAATCCATCACCCCATACCAACTAAGCTCTTCACTTCTTAAGTATCAAAAGGTAACACCCAACACCAATTAACAAAATTTAATTATAATAGTAACAATAAATAAAGCTTACAAGATAGTGAAAGCACGCTCCAAAATCATGAGGCACAATGAAGAAGTGATCAGCACCCTCTGTCCTGTTCCAATACGGCCAGTTTGAAGAAATGAGCTGTATAGCACTCCTCATCATTCGCGGTGACTTGAAAGGCAATGGGAGGCCATTCGGAGTGAGGTCACATGTTGTGTAAACGGGCGTGTAGAACCAGTCTGCCTCTTCTGGGTTAAGCGTGCGGACAGGGTTTGATAGCAGGAAACGGTGCATGTAAATCTCGGCAGCAAACATGTGGTTCAGACATCTCG